GGAACCATACTTACGAGTGATAGGCACAAGACTTGACCTAAGAATATAATGGACGCGAGGTACGAGATGCGAGATAAAACTTAGTAAAATAATAGGTGCGAGGTAATAGGTGCGAGGTGGTACTCGGCTTAAGGGGACAATAGGTGCGAGGTATGACTCGGCTTATCCTGTTTTATTTCATTAATCGTGTCCGAATAGTGAGAATGATCTCGACGTAGTTATTCGGGTGATTTAAAAAAAGATGCGGGACTGGTCCCGGCTTATTCTCTCACAATCGTAAGGTTTTTGTTCCTTAGGATTGATTAAGAGTTTGCATTGTAGGGAAATGCGTATTAGAGGATCGAACATCTAGCTAGGATGTCGATGTGAAAGATGTCGAAGTGAAATATGTCGTAGTAAAAGTTGTCGAAGTAAAAGTTTGTATAAATAAAATTTTATTAACAGCTGTACCTCGTAAGAGGTTGCCTACGTAACCAACAAACTAGGATCAAACCGATCGTAGTTCACATTCGAGATATAGCTCGACCGAGTATAGCTCGGTGAGCGTCCTGTTTTTTTTTTTTTTTTTTTTTTTTTTTAGTAGTAGTACCGCTTGATGTTCATCGAGTTCCAGGATCGAGGTAGCATTTCGCCGTCCATCGTCATCAGCTCGTAAACGCCGGGTTTTACAACGTTGGTGATTTGGTAGGGGCCTTCCCACTTTGCGCCTAGTTTTCCGGCACGGTATTCTTCGGTATTCTCGAACACCTTTCGAAGGACGAGGTCACCGGCTTCGAAGTGCCTTCCTTTCACGCGTTTGTTGTAGTATCGTGAGATTTGCTGCTGATAATTTTGCATACGTACCAGGGCGTGATCCCGCTCCTCTTCGAGCATATCGAGGCTATCCCGCATCATTCTTCCGTTCTTTTTTGTGTCTTGTGTCAACATCGTTCTGCGTATGGTTGGTAGACCGACCTCGGCAGGAGCCAAAGCTTCCATGCCATGTGACAGCGAGAAAGGAGTTTTATTCGTCGATCTTCGCGGTGTAGTTCGATGTGACCATAAAACTCCGTCTAACTCGTCTGCCCATAAGCCTTTCTTATCCTCGAGTCTCTTTTTGATGCTATCGAGGATAGTCTTGTTGGTCGCCTCGGCTTGTCCGTTTCCCTGCGGGTATCGCGGTGTTGATTTGCTAAGTCGTATCTTCCACTTGGCACAGAAGTCTTCGAATACATCGGAGATGAACTGGGGACCATTATCGGTGACGATCTCGTAGGGCAGTCCGTGACGGCATATGATGTTTTTACAGACGAAGTTCTTCACGTCGGTTGCTTTGATTTTGGCGTAGGACTCGGCCTCGACCCATTTCGTAAAATAATCGGTGATGATAAGCATGAATCGTTTCTGTCGGGATCGAGGAAGGGGACCCACGATGTCCATTGCCCATCTCATGAAGGGATAAGGTGGCGAGGAAGCAGCCAGAAGCTCGGCTGGTGCGTGGATCATTGGCGCATGTCGTTGGCATTGCTCGCAGCGAGCTACGAACCGATCGCAATCGGTAAGCATTGTCGGCCAAAAATGACTGTGGTTCTTGATTTTTAGAGCGAGAGCTCGACCGTTGGAGTGATTTGCACACGCTCCTTCGTGCGTTTCCCGCATGACATCGAGCGTCTCTCCACCGTGAAGACAATTGAGTAGAGCGCCCGTCGAGCTCCAACGATAAAGGTCGCCGTGTGACTGAATGTATTTAGCGCTTCAAACTTTTAAACGCCTCGCTGCCCATCGATCGTCTGGGACTTGGCCATCTGTAATGTAGAGCAAGATTTCGATCCTCCAGTCTTCGGTTGTTGGTTCTTGTTCGGCGGGCTCGTCGATGACCTCGGGGGGAGGCAATTCGATGTCGTCTAATCTGTTTGCTTCAGGACCGCGAACTGCACATACTCCACGAGGTTAGACGATGCTGGGGAATCGATGCTTTCGACCGGGATCACGCGCCTTTGATGTGATTCGGACGTCGATGCGAGGGCGGCTAATGCGTCTGCCGAGGTGTTGTCACTCCTTGGAATTCTGGTGAGTGAGAAAAATTCGAAGTGATCAGTGAGGTTTTTAACGGCTTTAAGATACAGGTCCATCCGGTCGTTTCTGGTGTCGTAGTCGCCGCTGTATTGGCTGGCAACGAGCTGGGAGTCGCAGAAAGCCTCGATCTTTTTGACCCCGATTCATTGCGCTAGGCGTAGTCCTGCAAGTAAAGCCTCGTACTCTGCTTCATTATTGGAGGCTGGAAATTCGAGCCGGAACGATTGCTCCAATATCTCTTTCGTCGGAGATTCTAGGCGGATGCCGATACCTGCGCCTCGAGACGAGGAGGATCCATCGACGTACAAGGACCACTTCTCGTCAGGTTGGTTGGTCTGAATTAGCTCTGGCGGAAGCTCTATCAGAAAATCTGCGAGGACCTGCGATTTGGCACTTGTTTTATTGCGATATTCAATATTATACTCCGTCAGCTCGACAGCCCACTTCGCCATGCGACTTGACTGGCTCGGGCTGTGCAGTATCGTTCGAAGTGGTTGATTGGTCAAGACGACGACCGAATGAGATTGAAAGTAGGGTCGTAGCTTTCTGGCAGACATGATGACCGCGAGCGTGAGTTTCTCCAAAGTTGGATACCGTTTTTCTGCATCGTCCAGAGTTTTACTCACGTAGAAAATCGGTTTCTGCTCGCCTCGATCTTCTTTGACTAAGACGCCGCTTACTGCCGAGCTCGACACAGCGATATAGAGATAGAGGGTTTCGCGTGTTTCAGGTTTGGCTAAAATTGGAGGGCTGGCGAGGTATTCCTTGAGCCGTTGGAAAGCTTCCTCACATTTACTATCCCACTCGAAACGTTTGTTGCCTCGGAGAAGTTGATAAAACGGAAGACACTTATCTGTGGATCGCGAGATGAATCGGTTGAGCGCCGTAATTCGGCCGGTAAGACGTTGGACTTTGCGAGTGTTGCGAGGTGATGGAAGATTGATCAGGGCATCGATCTGCTTCGGATTTGACTCGATTCCTCGTTTAGTGACGATGTAGCCGAGGAATTCTCCGGAAGTTACCCCGAAGGTACACTTAGTCGGATTGAGCCTCATCTGGTATTGATTTAGAACGGTGAAGCAAGCTTGCAGATGGGCGATGTGATCACCGGCGGTGAGTGACTTCACAAGCATATCATCGATGTAGACCTCCATTGTTCGTCCTAACTGCTCGGCGAACATGTGGTTGACTAATCGTTGGTACGTTGCGCCCGCGTTTTTTAAACCGAACGGCATTATCTTATAGCAATAGGTTCCTCGATCGATGATGAAGGACGTCTTTTCGCGATCTTCGGGATGCATTGTGATTTGGTTATAACAGGAGAAGGCATCCATAAATGACAGGAGCTCGTTTCCGGCGGTTGCCTCGACGATGCGGTCGATGTGTGGCAAGGGGAAACTATCCTTGGGGCACGCCTTGTTGAGATCGGTGAAGTCTACGCAGATTCGCCATTTCCCATTTTTCTTTTTGACGACGACCGGGTTGGCTAACCACTCGGGATATTTAACCTCGATGATCGAGCCAGCCTTTGACAGACGTTCGACCTCGTCATTGACGGCCTGCGCCTTTTCTGGACCTAACTTCCTCCGCTTCTGCTTGATCGGTTTAAACGTTGGATCGATGTTAAGCTCATGACTTGTGATTGAGGGATCGATCCCTGGCATATCGCTTACTGACCAGGCGAATGTCGACGCGTTTCGGCGAAGAAGTCGTACGAGCTCAACCTTGATCTCCTCCTTTAAATCGGCTCCGATTCCTACACATCGTTCGGGGTCGCTTTCGTCGATGTTTACTTGGACGACGAGCGACTGCTTCGGTCTTTCTTGAGTTGGCAAATCGACTTGAGTTACGGGTAAAATCGTGAGACACGCCTTGGCTGGAATCGTGGATTTGAATCGGAGCTTGTGCTCTGCAGCGAAGCAGAGTCTCGATATCTCCTGAGAGCCTCGAATAGTTTTTACCCCGAACGCGGTTGGGAACTTGAGGCATTGATGATAGGTCGACGGCACCACTTTCATGGATTGCAGCCAGGGCGTTCCCAGAATTACGTTGTAGATGGCAGGTTTATCGACGACAACAAATTTGACGAGGCGGGTCGTTTTTGCCGCGTAAACCGGGAGTCTGATCGTCCCAATCGAGTAGACCGTATCTCAATCGAATCCTGTGAGTGGCTTAACCGAAGACTTGAGATGATGGTTTGCCAGTTCCATTTTGTCAAGCGTTTCTTTGAAAATCAGGTCGACCGAGCTCCCTGTATCGACCAGTATCCGAGACACTTCGCAATCGGCGATCTGCAGCTCGACCACAAGCGGATCGTTGTGCGGCATGTCAACTCCTTCCGTGTCGGCCTCGGTGAATGTGATTGCATCGCTATCGGCGGTCTTAGGGCTTTTAACTTGCCATTTTTGTGCGAGCATGACCTGGCGGCCGTACTTTTTTATCGACCTGACGGAATCGTTGCACGTCGATAGGCCTCCCATGATAAAGAACACTTTCTTTCGAGATGCCGGGGGAGTGTCACCTCGAGGTTGGTTACCTCGATCTCTCTTTGTGGGATCATCATTGGATCGTTCGTTTGTCGGGGGAGGAGGTGGAAGTTGCTCGGTGGGAACCGCTGGTCGAGTTTCGTTGTTTCGCGGAGCGGTGTTTTAGGGCTGGTTTGCTAAAGCGATCTCCCCTTTCCGATATTTGGCGAGCAAGTAGGCATGTAGCTCGCGACACATCGCAGTTGGGTGACCGTACTTGTTGTGATAGTCGCAGAAAGGTCGTGTCTCCGCGCGATCTCCTCGTTGCCAGGTGTTCGATTGGTTTTGATACTGGCGGTTTTGTTGTTGTTGAGTGCTGATGTTGTACGTCGCTCCACGGCGATTGTCACCTCGATAGTTATTGTCGAGATGTTGTCGAGGCTCCTGATAATCTTGTTTGGAGATTTCTTTGTGAGGTTGCTACTTCGGTGTCGTTTTTGCTGGCGACGCGCTCTCTTTTTCTTCCTCGTCCTCGATGTATAAGGTGGCACGGTGAAGCGCGTCCTCGAGAGTTCGGGGTTTGCTGAACTTGAGGCTATCTCGAAACTTCGAATCGATTGGAAGGGCATTCCGAAGAGCTGGCAGCGATGCCTCGTCAGTCACGGTGATTCGAGAGACGATCGCATTGAACCTGCCGATGAAAGACCGAAGGGATTCTTTTTCGCCTTGTTTGATCTGGTAGAGGTCGGCGCTGGAGACTGCGCCTTGGATATACATCATGTACCTCTTGAGGAATGCGGTCGACAATGCTTGGTAGCTGTCAATCGAGTTCACTTTTAACTTGGAGAACCAAACGAGGGCCGCACCGCTGAGGTTTTCAACGAACAGTTGACAGAAACCTGCATCTTTCTCTTCTGGGGTGAATCGTGCTCGACCCATTTGAATGCTGAACGCGGTCATGAATTGGCTCGGATCCGAGTTGCCTGTATACGTCGGGAGATTGAACTTCACTTGAGTTCTGATCGGGAAGTCGGTAATTCGGGTCGTGAACGGTGTGCTTTGGCTTTCTTTTAACACACAGTCGATCTCGGGTGCCGAGCTAGTTGCTTGATGGACAAGCGAAGTCATGGCTCGCAATTTGGCTCTCATTTCGACCATTTCTTCGTCTTGCTGCAAGTTTCTTATCTGAAGCCGACGTGTCTCGTGTTCGGGAGCCCCGATATTCACCTCGTCACAGTTCGAGGTTGGATGATTTTTGGTTGTTGGTGGTGCGGGTGAGTCTCCGAATAAGGCACGCTGTACGCGCTGAATCTCTTGGGCTCGTCTCTCTGGGGCTTGAGTCTCTGAAGAATGTAATATGTTGACTTGATCTTGGCAAGAAAGTTGTGCCGCGGCGAGCTCGTTCAGGCGAGTGCTTGTCTGATGATTTAGCTCTTCCATTCGAGCCATCATTGTTGCGAACAACGTTGCGACGTCGGTAGGGAGCTGCTGGTGTGCTTCGATTCGCATCTTGTGCTTCTGGGTTTGAAGTTGCGTTTTCCACGGGATTCATCGTTGGTGGCTGCCTATTCGAGGTCTCCGGATTGTTAACTGGTGACACAAAAAGTCCCTCCTCGGCAGTAGTTGAGATGGGTAGGTTAGTTATTTCGTTGATTTGAATTCCTGACATTATCGAGCTCCTCTTTGCGTAGAAAGAAATCTCTTAGCCCCACGGTGGGCGCCAATTGTTGTATTATATCCACACACGAGGTCACTTTGGTAAATGTTTCTAAGTGGAGCTCGGAGATTCTTGTTTGAGTAGAGGTTAGATTGATATGAGGTTCTCGAGGTGATATTACGAGGTCAAGTAAACGAGGTAAGAGTTGAAGATTTAAGTGTAGAGTGTTTTTGTCTTTATTTCAGATTACGGATCCCGTAATAAATGAAGTTACAGGGCTATTTATAGTGCTTAAATTAGGTTACATCTCGGTCAGAGTAGCTTGGGCGGCCGGGCAGATAGACCTGACCGACCGTCTATCGGAGCGTCGTGCTGGCGAGCTGTCCCATCCGTGTCGAGGTGGCGAGCTGTCCCATCCGTGTCGAGGTGGCGAGCTGCTCCTTTGATACGAAAAGGTTGTCTCTTTGAACGACCTCGTTTTAATCTTCGCGTGTGGGCTTGTCGATCTTCGATCTTACTGGGCTTTTTATTTCGTCAGTGGGCCCGAACGAAATTACAAAAAGGGGGATATGCTCAGCCCACCTACAACAAACAGGGATATATAAGATGGTCTGAATGAACCATGCTTGAGATGGGCTCGAATTGCAGACGAAGGATAGTGTTGATTTGTTGATTATGAGGATCACACAAGAAGAATTACTGCTCGGGAGCATTTTATTATTAACGTCAGGATCGAATTACAATGAAGCGATTAAAGATTTAGTTTTCTTGCTCTGAGTTCTCTAATGCTCCCAAGAATTCGCGTGGATTAGTTGTGAGGAATCCTTTTTTTTTAAAAAACACAATATGAGTCGGTTCTATCATATGTTTTCTTTTCCTCTTTTAACTTGGAAAATGATATCTTCCCTCGAAATTTAAGGAAATCTTCATGTGATCCCAACATTGTCTCCTTTCTAGGTCCATGGGCCCAACATCCTCTTTCTAGGTCCGTTAGCTTGCCATTGTCCGACGGTCGGGTCCATTAGTCCGAAAGGCTCGTAACACTTGCCTACTATTTCTGTAATTACTGTGATTTTTTTCTGTGCTTTGTCCTTACTCACACGGTACCGTGGACCACTTCTCGCTAGATCACTCATCTTGAAATTGCTCTAACTTAATCACTCTTAACTCTAAAGTTTTCTCAAGACTAGTGTCCGAAAATATAAATGCACTTTAATGATAGAGGTAGCAAAATCAATTCTTATAAGCCTTTTCACATACACCAGAAATCGGAATGTTACATATATATAATGCACGACTTTGCATTCTTCTTAATTTCCTTTCATCCATGAGATTTTTTTTCGCAAACCTGCAAATTAACCAATACTCAAACTATACGAGTTCTTGTAATAAAAAAAAAAACAATCAACAAAATTAATTTAAACCTTTTAAACTTAAAAATTGACCGCTTGAATTCTTGATCATTGGTGACATTTTCAGAAACATGTTCATATACACCAGTGTCGATGTTATATGCAGTACCAAATTAGGCAATGGTTTAAGGCCACATCTAAATTAACAAAATGATAGGATCATATTAATTTCAAAACTAGGCTTATGTATATAATTTAATATATGTGTTTAGCTTATTTGTTTGAAGAATTCTATTTTATTGTTATAAGAGAAACTAAATAGTTAAAATTTGATAAATGTTTTTGTAGGAAATGTGAGAATGTTTGAACTTTAAAAAAGTATTTTAATTTTTTTTAGTAAAAATCATAATTTTTAAATTTGTTTTAACCCTCTATAAATCTAAGCACGGCACTGGTTATATGCACAACTCTGTTTTTTCAGCACCTACTCTCTAACCCTTATAAGATTCTCTAAATTGGGAGAATATAAGTCTTAACACTTATCTAATTAATTTGTCAACATATTTGTAAAATAAAACCTAATGAGGTGCTCTTGGGCCGGTGAATATAGCTTATTCTAGTACGGGATTAAATCCTGAGATATTCCAAAAAAAAAAAAAATAATATTCGAGTGGAGAGAAAAATAAAAAAGATTGAACTCAAAATATTTTCGGGGGATATCCATTTTCCGGAATTAGTATTAAAAAAAGGTATTGAAATATAAAAATAGGAGCGATTTCATGCAAATCTACAATTGCAAAGTAAAAAAAAAAACAGTTTTTTCAATTTTTTTTGTGTTCACTTCATTCTTTTTCAGTATCGAAAATATGGTAGGATGGTTGCGTTTTAGATTTAAACTCAGATGAAACTCAGTCGTCTTTCCTTGACTATCTTCATTGGAAAAGTTATAAGGTAGAAAGTAAGTAGGAGCAGCCGAAGTGCCAATGCATGTCTGATAACTTGACGATATCCAAGCTAACTAGCTACGCTAATAAATGTCTTCAAGACTTCAACAACACCGCACAATGAAAGTTAGCCATTACAGTTAGATTGATGATCAAGATGAAACAAGAACTTTTAGATTATAGATATGTGTTATGTTAAGAAAAGAGAGAGAGAGGGGAAAATATCTAGTAAGGGTAGGTATGACTACGTTTGTGAGAGTATTTGGTGAAGTCTTGTTTTTTTGTTTTTTACTTACTGAGGGCATCTCCATTAGTGAACCTCTTCATGAGGTTTTAAAGAATTTTTTAATAATTTTTTTTGATCAAATAAATAGTTAAGAACCTCTCTTTTTTTCTTCCTCCATTAGTGAACTTCATTAGGATTCTTACAAAAGTTTGTTCTGTTTTATCACTTTGATATGTTATAAATCATCAGAAAGTCTATTTGAATATCAATTGCATACTACACAGCAAGAGATCACAATCTTAAGAAACACAACTTCGTAAGATTGTTCTGTTTCATAGCCAACTCCTGTCGTGTTGTTCTGTGGTGTGGCCATCCATAAACACAACTTCTCTGTGGTGTTGTTATGTTACATGGCTAACGCCTAATTTCCCGTTTGTAGTCTCGTTCTTTTAAATGAATGGCTTCACATTCAAAACGACAGAGTCATCCGCTGTTTCTTCTAGTGGAGAAAGCAGTTGTCTGTATTTTTATTTGACAGAGCTGCTTCAGCTTTCTGCCTCCCCTCTTCTTTTTCTCGACATCTCTTTGCTTCTTGCAAGTGGTTATCAAACGGAGATCTGAAGCAGCAAACTGTACCTGCAAGTGGTTATTCCAGCAAGTTTATACAATCTGGCAGTTTCAAGCTGAAGTTTCTCATGCAAAGATAAACAGACATTTAGAAACTCACATAATGACTCAGATAAGTGAACGAAACCATGCTTCCATGTCAAGTGCGAACAGTGTAAATAAATGGAAAAATATTCAACCAAGTAGAAGGCATAGGGAACACGCATGTAACGCAACTGAGGAGACTATATATTCAAGCACTCTATGCTACAAACAGAACCACTGCCAAAAATTGCATTAAAAATGAGCAAGTACATCACCAAAAATGAGCTAGACCAATGTGAACAATGCAACTATCGATTCCCAAACATAATTAGTGAAACCAATGTTATTACCTCCCAGTTTTAGTTTGGAGAGTCCAGGTGCAGTCGTCGTATCCCTGGGAAAGAGCCTTCTGCAATTGAATCCTAATCACAACAAACAAACAGAGAGCAAAGACTCAATTTTCAAAATCTGAAACAGGAATTCCAAAGCATTAAACATCAAACATGATGTTTGAGTCTGCAGAGAGACTTGAAAAAGAAAGTAGTAGAGATGTTTGAGTTACGATTCTGTAATTAGATCCAGGAAAAAAGAAAACAGAAACTCATAAACCATTGAAGGTTTTTGGAATGCTCGATCGAGATGGAAAAATCAATTTCAAATTCTAAGGTTCGATGAGAAATCGAATCTTCCAAGCGATAAACTAACGATTCTCGCGATACATCCGGCATATCCTGACCCTTTTTCTTCTCTGCATGTCTTTCACGAACCATTTTGGCTTCCATCTTTGTTCTGCAAACATCAAAAACCCAAAAAAAACTTATAAAAAAAAAACCGAACAAGCCAATAATCTGCTTACACGTGGTCTATGAGACCGTCTCTTGCAGGTCTTATATAAGGAGCGGTTCATAGAAATTATGGGCTTTTTCATTTTTTTTAATCCAAAACTCCTATGATTCTGTGTCAAAAACCTGCTAAAAACTCCTGATGGAGATGGTCTGAGGCTGTGAATGGTAAATAATTTAGTAGAGAAAAAGTAAGAGAAAAAAGAACGTCAAGTTGGTAAATTTAGTAGTGTAAAAAGTTTACTCTAGGTTTCACTTGAATGGAGAGATAAGAAGTGAATTGAGAGTAAAACAAATTCTGCTCTATTTCTTACAGTCACAGCTTTAGTGGATTCGGTAGATACGCATTTTGGACCAGACAGAAGCTTTGGTAACAGAGAAACAAGCCTCTGCATTTTTCACGTGGACTTTGATACATGAAATAAAATTAGTCATCTGAGACATCGAACACATGTATATTTAACTTGTTCTATAAAGACAAAAAAAAACCGATCTTCTTTAATTTGGTCTGTTTTGCCGACATATATTTTTTCTTATAGACTCCACTGCCCTATTTTTAGCCTCATACACAAAGGAGCTGGTGACTCAGTTCTCTACAGATCGTTTACGATGGGGATAATATCTTGTAACACACTCTTCTCTTCTTCTCCTTCTCTCCCGCCATTAACTCTCCCGACACGAACAAAACCCTCGCGATTCTCGAAGATGCTCAGAGTTCGAGCTCAATTCCAGTTTATGGAGGATCACGACGATCTTCTCCGGCGAAAATTCATGGAGTTCCCGTACATGTCGGCCACAGGCAGGCAGCTAATGGTTGAGCTAATGTCGACAATGGAGGATCGCCTCAAGTCTCAACTCCTCCCCTGTAGCCTCCCGCCGGATGTACGGAACTTCAAGAACCCTAACGGCTCTGCCGAAGCATCTCTTCATATCAGATCCGGCCAGAAATCCTCTCTAGTACGCATTCTGTCATCTGCAATGATTTCTCCGTTTTAGAATGTTGCTTTTAGGTTCATTTGTTTGGTTTTCTATAGCATGGTCACTCAAAAGCAATCCTTGAATTGAATATAGTGATGATTTCCTTAAAATTTGCATTTGTGTGGGTTTTTTTTTCAGATTGATTTTGTTATAGGAAGTTGGATACACTGCAAGATACCAACAGGTGTATCTCTCAACATAACAAGCATCTATGCATACTTAAACTCTTCAACAAAAGCTCCAAACTTTGTGGTCGAAATTGTACAGAGCAGTCCCACGTCGCTCGTTCTCTTCCTCGACCTCCCTCACCGCAAAGACCTTGTGCTTCACCCGGACTATCTCAAGGAATATTACCAAGACACCGCTCTTGATTCATATCGCCAATCACTCCTTAAGCTTCCTGAAATCAAACCCTATGTTACGCCTTCTCTGTTTGTCCGCTCTGCTCTATCTCCTACATCTTCGATGCTTAAAATCGATGTGGAGGAAGAGGAAAAGTTGGAGGAGATCTTAAGTGATCATGTGAGTCCAGCTGCTAAGGAAGTTCTCGGGGTTTGGTTGGACCGATGCGCAAGGAAAGAAGAACAAGAAGAGAAGAGAGTGATGGGAGAAGAAGAGAAATTGGAGTTGGAGAGGAGGGACGAAAACTCTAGAAAGAAGAGCATAGAAGAAGATTTGGATTCACAGTTTCCTAGAATGTTTGGAGAAGAAGTTTCGTGCCGTGTTTTGCACGCCATCAAAGAAGCTTTCGGTGTTTTATAGATCATATCATTTATAGATTATGTAATCATCCGGGGGAAATGCCAAAATTAACCTGGACTAAATTTGATGTGCCGAAATAAATCTGAACTTAAGGTGTCATTTCCATTTATTGGATTTATTAGAAATTAAAATTTTTTTTTTTAGTTTAAGCATTCAATCAAGATATGGGACTGCTCATTAATATGAAAAGTCTCAAAGGATCCTTGAGACTCACTTAGCTCAAGGGATCCTTGATCGAGATTTTTCAACAGATTGGACGGATGTAACCAACCTAATCTCGCGAGCCAACCAGAAAAAAATTGAAAGCTTTTCTCATCTGGTATCTCTTCCAGACGGTCGTCTATAAGCTGTGGAGAAAAAGAAATGATAGAAGACATTGAGCCCAACCATAGCCGGTCTCAAGGCTAATCAAGACTGTGGACAAATCCATCTGAAATCAATTTAGTTCGATAAGGATTTTGGGAGATCATCGATACGAAGAAGGTCTGCAACTCTAGTTTTCTTCAAGACCAGTAAACTGATTAGTCAATTAAGCTGTGCTCAATCTAGCTCAATGTTAGGTTTTTAAATTTCACGCTCGCATTTCATATGTAGAAACAATATTTTTTTCTAGTTTTGAATATAATTTAACATTCATCCAAAAAAAAGATATGAAAAATCTCTTCAGAAATCCATCAACATTTCTCATGTAGTTTAATTAACATAAAAAAGCTTCATCAAAAAGTTTCCTATTCTCACATCCACAAAAAATTTTAGCCTCTGAAGCTTTCTTATTCCACTTCTGTAAACTTCCTTTTTAAGTTATATATTCTAGAGACCATATCCTTAAGCTTAGAAGAGATTTTCCCAGCTCCGAATCTTCATGCTTCTTCGTATATTGGACTTCAGAGTAACCAATTTCCTTAAATCGATTAGCCACATGAGCCCAGCCATCTTCAACTCTTCCTTGATGACGTCTTTATATACGAACAGAAGACTATCCCAAAAATCATTCTCAGCAAGGACTTTGACATTCACAAGAGCCACTTTCAAAGATCATGATGACTCTGAAGCCATATTACTGTGCTCACTTCTCGATTGAGACACCATAATCTTGCAAATTAAATCTAACTTGATTTACACTCACTGCTTTTACAAAGAATAATGAACTCATTAAATATTTATTTAATGTCTAAAATCTTTTACTAAAAATAAATAAACCGAAAAATTGAAACATTTTAACAATAAACCGATTGTTAAATATTTGAAGAAAAACTAAAGAAAATATAACTAAAAATCTTTATTAAAAATAATTAAATAAAATACGCTCATGGTTCCCGGAAGCAACACTGCATCAAATGCCACAAGTACTACTCTTCGTTCTCACCTGAAAAAGAAGAGAGGGATGAGTATTTGGAAAAAAATACTAAGTGAGGGTGTGCTCTTTGAACACACAAGATTCTTTGACATATTATTTGAAATAGCAATAATGTATATACATAATATATGCATCAAACTCAAGCAACAATCAACCTAGAATAACTAACATTATTATTAATATATATGATATTAATATTTTTAAATAAATACAATCATTCAATCATTCAAAACAATCAACCTAGAGATTCTGTAACACATTCCCAAAGAACTTCCATCAATGGTACTCATTCTCTGCCACCATTCACTCTGGGTTTTACAAGTTACCAGTGTCACCACCCTCAACAGGGCTTGACTATGGCTCGTCAGCTCTTTCTCAATCACTAGAGCTTTACAATATTCAGTCACTCACTGTAGACCGTCAAACAATTTATCGATCACTACAACTTAACAATATGAGTTCTTCGTTGTATGCCGTCACATAATATTGTAACCAGATAATTACTATTTCAACTAATGACTAAATAAGTTACAATCCTATTATCATATTCCAGTACTTCTCATTATTAATTATCATCAATAACCAATCATTAACTATTATCAATCAGCATTATCAAATACCAATCATCAATCACGTTTAATACCTACACTAAGCATACACATATTACTAAATCAACTAATATATCTTAGAAATCCACAAACTTTTCTGATAAGATCAAGAATGTAATAGGTGAATAGTAAATGTATTGAATGAGAAAAGAGTATATGTGTTCAATACAAGATATCGGAAATGCATCTACAGGATCTCATAACGATCATCGAGCTAAGCTCATGACGCTTACAAACTCAGAAAATGCATAACAAACTTTATCCTCTATTCTCGTATTTATACTTAGTACAGAAAAGAAAGCCTCTGCTTCGCTCCAAGTCTTTGCTCTTTTCCTCTTTAAGTTGCTTCTCCCACGACTTGAGAGCGCTTCCCCCAACGTGGCCCTTCTCTCTCCTGTAATATATCTGATGATGCTTATCATTTTCCTCACCTTAATATAAAAGAACCTGGAATATCATTTCTCCTGTAATTGCAGTTGGTGAACACCCCTTCATAAGAATACTTCAAAGCTGCCTCGGAAACACGCTCATAACTCGATAACCAACTGTTGGAATCTTGATCCCACCGTTGAAACTAGAGACAGATGTACTGTGAAGTCCTCCATAAAAAATCAGCTCGATCGGACTTAAAACGAGTCATCCACAGTCCTTTGAAGTTGCTGCGTCGGAACAGATTTTTGGGTTGCAGGATGATGCAGATGATTTTTGCGCAGGAAGAAAGCTTCGTTGTAGCCTGACCTTAACTCCGATGACAATGCTGTTTTCTCCTATGGGTTCGTTGCATCGAGGTCTTTCTAGAGACACCTTGATCACGGTTTAACTTTCTCTGAAGTAACATGAATCTTCTTCACAAAATCTCACCTCGGATCTATGCCTTCCCCTTCAACTTTCTTCTTCTCCGAACCTCTCCTCCTCTCGGTGCAACCAACAACCGCGACGGTGGTCGATCAGAACTCTGGTGGCAGTGGATCCTCTTCTGGAGACGTGAAGTTTGTGGTGGTGGAGGTGGTGATCAATGAAGACGAAGACGGTGTGGTGGTGGTGAACGGTGAGCTCCTCTCTCCCTTCCTCTCTTCTCTTTTTCTCTTCTCTTCTCTCTCTTTTCTTCTTTTCTCTTACTCTCGTTGTTCTCTTACAGCAGCTTTTCTTTTCTTTTTGGTTTGACAGGGGTTTTGGTTTTAAAAAAAAAACTAATTAATTGGGTAAAAATATAAATTTGGGTTTAATGAGAACACAAGAAATAATTGGGTTTCTAGAGTTTAGATTTTTTTAAAAAAATTGGGCCAAAGCTAAAGTTTAGGATGTCACATCGATACTTACAAAGTTCTCTAAATTTGGAGAATATAGGTAGGAGGATTGCGTGTTATTGGGTTATTACCTGTAACCCCGCCATCAATGAGGTGAAATGCAGTCGTCTTTCCTTGAATATCTTCATTGGAAAAGTAATGAGGAGGAAAGTAAGTAAGAGCAGCCGATGTGCCAAGGCATATGTCTGATAACTTGACGTCCAAGCTAGGGCTAACAAATTTCTTCAACAACACGGTACAAAGAAAGTTAGTTCAGTTAGATTGATCAAGATGTAACAAGAAATTTTAGATTAAAGATATGTATTATTTTTAGAAAACAGAGAGCGAGAGGAAAATACCTGGTGAGGGTAGTATGATTATGTTTGTTTGTATCTGGTGAAATCTTGTTTTTTGTTTTTTTTTACTTACTGGGCTGTAAATGGTAAATTTAGCAGAGTAAAAAAGTAAGAGAAAAAAAAAACATTATCTAGGGTAAAAGATTACCCTAGGTTTCACTTGAATGGAGAGATAAGAAGTGAATTGAGAGTAAAACAAATTCTGCTCTATTTCTGACAGTCACAGTTTTAGTGGATTCGGTAGATACGCATTTTGGACAAGACAGAAGCTTTGGTAACTGAGAAACAAGCCTCTGCATTTTTCACGTGGAATTTGATATATGAAATAAAATTATTTATCTGGGACATCGAACACATGTATTTAACTTGTTCTATAAAGACAAAAAAAAATCTTCTTCTTTAATTTGGTCTGTTTTGCCTACAGATATTTTTCTTATAGACTGCACTGCCCTGTTTTTAGCCTCATACAAAGGAGCTGGTGACTCAGTGCTCTAAAGATCGTTTACGATGGGGATAATATCTTGCAACACACTCTTCTCTTCTTCTCCTTCTCTCCCGCCGTTAACTCTTTCGACACGAACAAAACCCTCGCCATTCTCGAAGAAACTCAGAGTTCGAGCTCAATTCCAGTTTATGGAGGATCACGACGATCTTCTCCGGCGAAAATTTATGGAGTTTCCCTACTTGTCGGCCACAGGCAGGCAGCTAATGGTTGAGCTAATGTCGACGATGGAGGATCGCCTCCAGTCTCAACTCCTCCCCTGTAGCCTCCCGCCGGATGTACGGAACTTCAAGAACCCTAACGGTTCTGCCGAAGCATCTCTTCATATCAGATCCGGCCAGAAATCCTCTCTGGTACGCATTCTGTCATCTGAAACCTGCGATGATTTCTCCGTTTTAGAATGTTACTTTTAGGTTCATTTGTTTGGTTTTTTGGTCACTCAAAAGCAATCCTTGAATTGAATATAGTGATGATTTCCTTAAAATTTGCATTTGTGTTTTTTTTCAGATTGATTTTGTTATAGGAAGTTGGATACACTGTAAGATACAACCAGGTGTATCTCTCAACATAACAAGCATCTCTGCATACTTAAACTCTTCAACAAAAGCTCCAAACTTTGTGCTCGAACTCATACAGAGCAGTCCCACGTCGCTCGTTCTCATCCTCGACCTCCCTCACCGCAAAGACCTTGTGCTTCACCCGGACTATCTCAAGGAATATTACCAAGACACCGCTCTTGATTCATATCGCCAATCACTCCTTAAGCTTCCTGAAATCAAACCCTATGTTACGCCTTCTTTGTTTATCCGCTCTGCTCTATCTCCTACATCTTCGATGCTTAAAATCGATGTGGAGGAAGAGGAAAAGTTGGAGGAGATCTTAAGAGATCATGTAAGTCAAGCTGGTAAGGAAGTTCTCGGGGTTTGGTTGGACCGATGCGCAAGGAAAGAAGAACAAGAAGAGAAGAGAGTGATGGGAGAAGAAGAGAAATTGGAAATGGAGAGAAGGGACAAAAACTCTAGAAAGAAGAGCATAGAAGAAGATTTGGGTTCACAGTTTCCGAGAATGTTTGGAGAAGAAGTTTCGTGCCGTGTTTTGCACGCCATCAAAGAAGCTTTCGGTGTTCTGTAGATCATGTCATTATAGATTAGCTAATAATCATCATTGTCTAAATAGATTAATATATGCTTCTTCTTTTTTCCTGTCTCAATCACCTTTATTAATACGCGCGAAGTTACAATCGTTGTTTACGAATGCCATATTTGTGATAGACCTATATGCTTGTGTGACGCAAATCGATAATGAGTGAGCAAGAGCATAAAGTAACTTAGACACAAAGATTTGTTAACGGTGTTACCTACATCCTCACAACCTAGTCTAGAACCAATCCACTAAAGTAAGAACGCAACTACCACTCATTGTCTTTTCCGACGAGTATAGTAATACAACAAAAACCCCCAGCAGATCTTTTTTTTTTTTTCTGGTGGGACAACACCAACCACAACCTGTGTGCATCTCACAATAGAACTCTAGGTGTGTATCTTTTTCTGTCACCACCTCTTTCTATTTATACTCACCAGCTTCACTCAAACCCTAATTTACTTGACCTTTGGATAAAGCTTTTCTCCTCTTATGTCAACTTGACACATGCCTTTTCTCAGACACAACAGCTACCACTACAAGAAAACAGCTTATTTGCAATGGAACTTTGTAACGGATTTCGTAACAAATATTTGCAACGTAGTTCGTTGCAACTCTGTTCCAAAATAAAATTCTTTGCAAATCCGTTTCTAAATTTCGAAAAATAATTAATTACAAATTTGTTGCAAGTTTGCAACCGATTTGCAATAATTTAGCAACAGTATAGATATGCAACAAAGTTCATTGCAAAACGTTACTAAATATTGCAAAGGAAATACATTGCATCATTTTGCAATGGAGAACATAGCAAAACTTCAAAAGTTTTGCAACGGAGAATCGTTGCTAGAGTTTGCAATAACAACTAATATGATCCTTGTAACATATACTTAGCAATTTTCGGTTTCGTACTTGGAATTTTTTTGGTTATTCCTTTGCAACGGACTAGCAACAGTTTTGCAACGGATTTCCTGAGGTCCCTTGCAAATCCCTTACTAAATGTCTCATTCCAAAAAAATAAAGTGTGAATCATCTTACTCATATAACTACTACCTAAGTGGGGCAAGCTATGTTCTACACTGCCAATTTAATATGTTCAGTGAGAGAAACCCCACAAGTATAAGCATTCGTATCAAAAATGTGTAAGAGTAGAACATTCATCTCAAGGATAAGTTAAGATGAATTCACACATACTCTCTCTTATGATCAAAAAGCCATATTTTTAATGTCTTGGAAATTCTTATGAAATATGGGCTAAGAAAACATTAATATGCAAGGAAATCAATAATACCAAATAATATGATCCTTGTTAACATATAGTTAGCCATTTTCAGTTTCATACTCGTGAAATTTTTGGTTTTTCCTTTTGCAACGGACTAGCAATAGTTCTGCAATGGATTTCTTGGTTTTGCAACGGATTTCTTCAATTAGCAATGGATTTCTTGGTTTTACAACATATTTCTTCATTTAGAAATGGATTTCTTCAGGTCCCTTGCATATCCCTTGCTATATGTCTCATTCCAAAAAAATTGAAGTCTGAATCATCTTACTCATATAACTACTACCTAAGTGGTACAAGCTATTTTCTACAATGCCAATTTAATATCTTCAGTCAGAGAAAACCCCACGTATAAGCATTCATATCAAAAATGTGTAAGAGTAGAACATTCATTTCAAGGATAAGTTATGATAAATTCACACTTACTCTCTCATAAGCCATATTTTTTTATGTCTTGGAAATTCTTATGAAATATGGGCTAAGAGTACATTAATATTCAAGGAAATCAACAATACCAACTTAAATGATATATCCTTGTTAACATATATTAGCCATTTTCAGTTCCATACTTGTTAAATTTTTGGTTTTTCCTTTTGCAACGGACTAGCAACAGTTTGCAATGGATTTATTGGTTTTGCAACGGATTTCTTCATTTAGCAATGGATTTCTTGAGGTCCCTTGCAAATCCCTTGCTAAATATCTCATTTTCATAAAATAAAGTGTGAATCATCTTACTCATATAACTACTACCTAGAGATGTCAAAACGGGCTGCAACCCGCAGGCTAGGCCCAATTAGAACCAATGCGGGGCGGGCCTGGACATGTTTTCAAGTGTCCATAAATTAGCGGGTCTCGCGGTCCAGACCCGTGCGGAATGTCAGGTTTTACGGGTCGACACGTCGCAGTTCGGCGGGTTTGCGGGTAAGCCGTAAAAGACGAAGTAATTTTCACGAAAACGAGGATTCTTCACCAAATGAACTCTAGTAAAACGAAGAATCTGGCCACCATATCCACCGATCGATGATGGCTCTCAGTCTCAACAAACCAGAATAGGTTAACGAATCTGATGGATAATCTCAATTGTTATTGATGTCTTGTTGGATTTTGAGTTCTTTTCTTCGTGTGGCATTTGATGACAGTTGATTTAGAATATTTGTAAGCACCCAAAAGTGTCTGCAGTATTGGTATTTGGTGCTTCATTTGATTTTGTGTTTGGTGATTTCTAGAAGGATTGATAGAAATTGTTTTGGCCTTGTTCTTCTGCTGTTTTCCAGGAGTGTTCTTTTATGGTTTCTGTTTGATTTCAGCTTGGTTTTTTATTTCAGTTTCACGTGAAAGTTTCTTCTTGGTTTGAGTTCCAAGTTTTGTTACTTTTGCTCACTACATTCTCTCCTTTCTCTCTTTTTTCTCTTTTTATACGGTCTCCTTTCTCTCTTTTTTCTCTTTTTATACGGTCATTGGCACATGTTGTCATGAGAAATGATGAAACAGTTTCGATTACTCATGTTACTTTTGCTATCTTTCTACACACTAATGTAGAAGAATACTCATGTTTTAAGTTTAAGTCAAGCTTGTGGCTTAATAATGCATGCTAGGGTTAGCAGATCGCAAATAAGTTTTAAATTTATAAAATATTAGTATCCTACATGTGCACAGTCGTGCGATGTAGTACTTAGGGTGTCGATCCACAAGGATGATGACTAATCTGCAAAAACATCAAACTAGGATAAGTAAGTGAAATAATAAACTCAAAGGGGGGTTTTTGTTGGTTTTTTTTGTACGGAAAAATAAAATACAAAATAAAACTAGACCTAATTCAAAACTAAATCGATAAGGGACTAAAAATGCAATAAGGTTGAGTTGCTAAGGACAATCTAGGGGATGCTCGATTCAAACTAGGGTTCCTTTTAATCTTATTAGATCTAAAATTGTATTTAGTATCAGTTAGGAGTCCTCAACATACAAATCCATGTGGATTCAATCCTTAAATACAACTGCGTTTGTTGTACACTTGCAGCTTTGTTTAGGGTAAAACTTGTAGTTTCCCACTCACCCACATTAGTATTGACCCATTCAACTCTCATTAAGTGCGTCCAGAGTGGCTGACACCGGTCTGGATCTATCCAGAGTGCAGATCGGAGTGGGAGAATGGCTGGAGATGAGGCTTACACCGGTCAGGATCCGTCTGGAGTCTTGTCCGGAGAACATACAGCTTGTTCAAGTGAAACACCGGTCAATGTGCACCGGCCTGATCTTTTCCGGTGTGGGGGTATTATCTGGGAAGCCTTGAGAGCTGATAACTGGCACTGGAAGGCACTAGACCGGTGTAGGAGTCAAGATATGGTCGCTTCTTCGCAGCTTTTTGCTATACGGATAGGCGCTTGCTATAATCGATGTATATTCCGAAAAACTTATCAGAATGACTGTGAATTACCTCCATTAGAACACTGACTCAATTATTTACAACTTTTATGAAGGTCTCGGAAGCTGAATAGGTGTTTAAGCCATCTGTATTGCTCAATCTTTGAGATGTTGCTGCTGGCTCCGGACAGATCAAGTGATGAATGGTCCGGTGCTGTGTCCGGAGTGGCTGCCTTTGCTTGTACCCACCACCAGAACCGGTCAGAGACTACCGGAGTGTAGATCAGAGAACTCACAGTGAAGTCAGCTCCGGACAAGAATTGGTAAGGATTTGTTCGGAGTGGTGTCCGGAGTGTGGATCCTAGCTTGTGTGCTTCTTCAGCACCGGTCTGGATCTGTCCATAGTGTTATCCGGAGTGAATGCAAATCCTCCAAGATGACTTGGTCTTTTGCTATTTTTCTTTGTCTCACAATGTTCTGGATCCGTTCCTCAATGCTTCCAAGTCCCATAAGTGCTCCTTTAGTACCTAGAAACACTCCAAAATGCAAGATTCTCTTGGACCTAACACAAATTCCTATAAAATCTAAAACAAAGACAAAACACTAAGAAATATATCTAATATGCATGCATGGAACTCTAAACAAGGACTAAATGCATGCAAAGATATGAATATATCAATTAGATAAAAAATGTGGATGTCTAGACACTAGATCTATGTGAATCTATCCTAATCCAAGTCAAAGATCAATAGAGGAAATGAAGATTTAGAGTTACAGATCTCTTTGGAAGAGAAGAGTTCATGACAAATTTCACAACATTTGATCTCTCCCTCTTAAACCTATCTGTTTTTTTTGTTTTTTATGTCTGAGAATAGCAATGTCACAATTACTTCTCATTCTCTGAATATAATGTATGTCAATGGGAAACAATTCACTAAATTTTTCTTTTCTGTTTCAATAATACTTTGTTTTATAAAGTAAAATAATATTATTCAAGAAAAATACTAGACAATGACTAAAAATTATACTTTCAAAATAACCAAAATAATTCCAAGAATACCACAAAATAAAACAAATGTTTTTATGACATTGATGTTATTTTCCCCACCTAGAATTTCAGGAGGAATTCATAAACACTTAAACATAGATTTTGTGGTATTTAAAATTTTCAGGAGGTAAAAAATTAAGGCATTTTGAAGTTCCTAAAACAAATAGGTCTCGAGCCCCCGAAATCACAGGGAAATAAGGTATATTAAATTCTTAATTATTCTAAATATTTATAAGTAAACATACATATAACAAAAGGTGATGATACTTAGATGTAAATATCCAATTTTTTGAAAACATAACTACTATTGTACAAAATAAAAATAAAAATGTGATTTTCAAAACTGTAAAGAGACAAAGACGAATGAAGCAGTACAAAACAATTAACACATATTTCTATTTGAGTTCATAGTTTACAATTAATGTAAAAATGTATAACTCAAGATATCCATCCATAAAAGACAACTATACAATTGACATTGAGAAGACGTTAAACAACGATTATAACCAACATGATCAATTTTGTCAGTACAACTTAATCGTTGATAGATATATTTTTACAATGAAAAGTTTTTAAAAACATTATCATGATATGAAATGTTAAAATCTCCAAACAAATAGAATTAAATTCTAGTACAAAATCTTGTATGAAAAAATTAAATTTGTCGTGATCTGTAAAAAATTTGGAAAAATCTTTAATTTCAAACCATTGGAAATAGTTTTGATACATTTAAGTCAACATTATCTTTCGGAAACCTAAAATTGTCTTGGATTTATAACATCATATAGCATTCGACATATTATATTAGCTTATCAAATTTTTAGTTGTGTGATATTAGCTGATTTTTTTAACTCGTTAGTTGGATCAAAAATATACATTTGAGAAAACTTTGGTGGCTCATCATCACATGGTAATACATATCCAATACGAAGATAATTTTCACCATGAAACTTAACTAATAACGGTGGAGGCTCACAAGCAGTTGGGAGTAAAACACGACTTTGTTTACAACAAATTAAGAACAATGGTTGTGTACTAACTGTATCTGTTTTAGTTATGATATTATGACTATCAGTAGAAATACTCACTATTCCAACTATTTTTTGGGATAATGCTATTATTTGATATTAGTTAAAAATCACCATCTATTCAAAAATGAATTTTTAATTAATATATGTAAACTAACATTCATAAAGTATTTTAAAAATATATATATATATATATATATAATTTAAGTGATATATTGTTAATTGAAGATTGTTGTTGGGAGAAACTTTCTAATTCTATTGAATTTCCAGTATTCATTGATTTTTTATACTTCCTGCAAGCAAAATATATTTTAAAATATAGTTTATCAATTTCATATTAAACTTTTATACCCTTAAATAGAGGATAACACAATAACAATTCAAACATTATCAGCCAAGTTTTAAAAATATCCTACATGAGTAAATTTTAAAAAATAAAAAAGCCAATACGTAATAACTAAATTTGATCATATTATTGAATAAATAATACATTCTTTGTTTAAGAATAGTGAACTCATAGATCATATGCTAATAGTATTAGAAAAAATTGTAAATGTACCAGATACTTCAATTTTATGGTGTTTAACATGTGAGTTGTATGTTTGATAAATAGAATGTTTACCCATCTCTAAATGTAAATAAAAAACAAAAATTGTGTCTTATTATTATAATATATAATGTAGAAAATTGTATCTTTTTAATGAAAATTTGTGCCTTTTCAATAAGTAATTGTATCTTTATTTTGAAAAGATGTAATGCTTCAATATTGAAAAATAAATTGTTTAAATTTTGAACAGTTGAAATGGTTTAATAACCATTAACTCAAGAGGTGCAATGGTTGGTAAATTAACATTAATTTCAAGACTTGCATTGTTTAGTAAATAACTATAAAATCAAGAGTTGCAATGGTTGATAAAATGACTATAATCTCTAGAATTGTAATATTTAGTAAAATAACCATAAACTCAATAGTTGCAATGGTTCACCAAAATAACTATAACACTTAAATCTCCAACATTCATTTCTTATTAAAATGTAGTCTGTTTTTTTTTTTTGACATCTAAAATGTAATCATATATTCACAAAATAAACAACACATATACAAATAAAAAATCAAAAGATATAACCAGACAATAGCTGCAGTTATATACACAAAAATACAATTAAAATTCTATTTAATGGAAAAAAGCAACAGTTTAATCAGAATTTTTCACAGAAATGTATAATTTAAAAAAAATAAGGAAAAAGACACAACTTTATAATAACGATAACCTTTCATGTTAATAACTGTTCTACACATAAGGGTACAATTAATTTAAAAATAAATAAATACAAAGAGAAATGATTCATTCATAATTTTTCATATCGTTATATTTTTCACAGATTTAGGATTTTTTTTTGTTCTTCCTAACCTTTTCTTTTGTCTTGAAACTTTTTTCTGTTTTTTTTTTTTCATTATCAAGACTAAAATGTTCATCACTTTCACATAAATTGGCTTCTTTTTTGTTTTCTTTTTCCACTTCACATCCAAGCATTATCTACTTTAGAAAGTGCATCTTTAATCCCCCTTATAGTTTGGTATATCATGTTTCCTATGTCAAATAAATTATATAACTATAATAGTATAACCAAAAATAGTGCTACATGATAAATTAAATTTAATATTAGTGATAAACTTTTCAAAAAATATTATAGGAAAAAAGATTATGTTGCCTATTAATATTAGTGATAAACTTTTCAATAGAATTATCATTTTTCTTTTTAGTCCTAATTTTTTGAATTTTCTTCCAGAAATATTTTTCTGGATATTGAGCGGATGTGAAACCATCTAATTCAAGTTCTTCTTTATTCATGGCAAAATAAAATTAAAAAAAAAATAGAACTAAAACTCATAGAAAAATATTATGTTGCCTTTAGATTAATAAATTAATTGTCAAGAGAATTAATATTTTTAGTCCAAATTATTTGGCTTTCGTTCTAATAATATTTTCTTGGAGAATGAGTAGATCTTTCGCGCTCCACGTCAAGTTTCTCTTTATTCACGGCTAACCATCTAATTTACTTTTTTTAACACCGTTTTGATAACAGTTTCTTGCAAAAGAACAATGTTTTTCTCAAAAAAATTCTAAGTTAATTTGAAGTTTTTCAACAAAAAATTGATGTAAAAGGTGTTGTTTTTCAAATTAAGAGCATTATTAAAAAAAAAATCAAGAAAAGAAATAATAAAAATGAAACAAAATATATACAATCTTGAAAATACATAAACATTAATAGAAACAACATTTGATAATTGACGGTTATGTACAAAAGAGTATAATTAATAAAATAATTTAAAAAGACACAACTGTAAAAATGTAACCATTGTACACAATGGTTTCACTCATAGTTTTATTTTATGGAATTCCAAATGGTACAAATGAATAGTTGCAATAGTTTAGAAAAAACATAATTCCAACTGTTATAATGGTTTAATAACCATTAACGCAATATGTGCAATGATTGGTAAAATAACTTCAAAATCAATAGTTGCAATATTTAATAAATAGCCATAAACTCAAGAGTTGCAGTGGTTGGCAAAATAATCATAATTTCTAGAATTGTAATGTTTAGAGAAATAAACCATAAACTCAATTTTGCAATGGTTCACTAAAAAATGGTAACACTTAATCTCCAACATTCATTCCCCATTAAAATAATCATAGATTCACTAAATAAATAACACATATACTAATAACAAACGAAAAGACATAACAATAACAATCATTCATAAAATTAGCAGTTATACACGGAAAGATATAATTTTAAAAATATTTAACAGAAATACATAACGGTTCATTATAATAATAACTTTTTTAAAAAATAACTGTTATACATGAAAAAAATACGATTAATAAAAAAATATATGAGTAGAAAGACACAATTGTTCATTCATAGTTTTCCATATTGTTATTTTACAGATTAAGGTTTTTTTTTGTTCTTCCTAGCCTTCTCTTTTGTTTGAAATTTTTTTGTGGTTTTTAATTTTTTTATTTTCAAAACTAAAAATCTTAATAACTTTTACATAAATTGGCTTCTTCGTTGTCTTCTTTTTCAATTCACATTCAAATCTATTAGTTGTGTTATCTACTTTAGAAGTGCATCTTTAGTCCCCATTATAGTTTGGTATATCAAGTTTCTTGTGTTAAATAAATTATAGAATTGTCTCATATTTTCTAGATAATGAGCGGATGGTAGATCCTCCAACTCAAATTTTTCTTTATCCATAGCTGAATAAATTTTTAAAACAAATTTAAAAATATAACTAAAAAACTTTCCTTTTAAGATTAGTGATATAATTTCCAAGAGAATTACCATTTCTATTTTTCTTTAGTCCAAAATATTTTGGCTTTTCTTCTAAAAATATTTTTTTGGGGAATGAGTAGATCTTTCACTTTTCAATTTTAATTTTTTTTATTCATGGCTAACCATATACTAAAAAATCTTTTTTATAACACTATTTCTGTAGCAATTGCTTGTAAATGAACAATGTTTTTATTAAAGAATTTGAAGTTAATTTGAAGTTTATTAACAATAAATTGATATATAAGGTGTTGTTTTTTAAATTAATAGAGCTTGATAAAAAAAATTCAATAAAATAAATAATAAAAATAAAATAAAATATATACAATCTCGAAAAAACATAAGTATTAAAAGAAACAACCATTCATAATCAGCAACCATTCATAATCAGCAGTTTGTACAAAATAATACAATTAATAAAATAAACAAAAAGACACAACAGTAAAATTATAATATTTGGATAAATTAATAATTATATATAAAAAATATAATTAATTAAAATAAATAATAATTAGAAAGACACAATTATATATATGTTCTAATAATTCACTAACAAAATTTTGAAAAAAAAATCAATCCAAAATTGTCTAGAAGAATAGCTACAAGGAAGGCACAGAATGTGTAGGGTTTTTACTTCTCTCGCTTTAAATGCCCCACCATCACCATTTTTCCGCATCTCTCTCTCTCCTCAGGTACGCTTAAAGGAGCTAGCTTCGACCTCGTTTACTATTTTTATTCTTCCTTGAAATCGAAAACCCATTCGAAGTAATACGAGAAAGGAGGCGACTTTTCTTATTCTAAACAGGACAAATACTACACTGCAAAATTGTCAATTTCAATTGTGATTCGAGTTCGTCGTTACCATGGCGAGAGGCGTAGGTGGAGTTTTGCGTAGAGCGTATGCTTCAAGAGTTAGGATTCTGTTATCGACCCGAAAGTTTCATACTTTTAGAGAAACTGATTGTAGATCTCTTGTGCCCACGAGCCGGTTCTCTTCGGATAATCCGGTTCGAATTCACCTTCCCTGGAACGATTACAGATTTGGGTGCTTTGGGTTTGGTAAAGTTAGGGGCTTTTCGTCTACGGTGGATAACAATGGTGGAAATGATGAATCTGATACGGAAGATTGCGAAGAAAGTCTTGGTTCTGAGAGTGAGGATTATGATGAGGAAGGTGTGATTAACGAGCTCGGTGATGTAGATGAAAGCTTGGTGAACGATTCAGCAAGTTCTGAGACAGATGGTAATAACAGTGTAGAGAGTAGCGAGGCTGCTCGTGCTTTAGACGCTAGGTATCATGATCGTGTGGAGCTATATAGAGAGCTTAAGGGAAATGAAGTGCGTTCTAAGCTTCAACGTAGTGAATGGGATACAATACATGAGATTTTCGGGTTTTTCACACAGTCTGGTTGGGCAGCTAATCAGGCTCTTGCGATCTATATCGGAAAGTCGTTTTTCCCAACCGCTGTTAGCAAATTCAGAGACTTCTTCTTGGAGAAGTGTAAGATTGAGGTTGTTCAGGATCTTGTCCGCGTTGGACCAACAGATGCAGCTGTTAGGTTCTTGTTCCCTGTGTTTGTCGAGTTCTGTATCGAAGAGTTCCCCGATGAGATCAAGCGTTTCAAGAGTGTTGTTGAATCTGCAGACCTCACGAAACCCGCGACTTGGTTCCCTTTCGCTCGAGCTATGAAGCGTAAGATCGTTTACCATTGTGGACCAACCAACAGTGGCAAGACGTACAATGCGTTGCAGAGGTTTATGGAAGCTAAGAACGGGTTGTATTGCAGCCCGCTTAGGTTATTAGCCATGGAAGTTTTCGATAAGGTGAATGCTTTAGGGATTTACTGTAGTCTCTTGACTGGACAAGAGAAGAAACATGTTCCGTTCTCGAGACATGTTTCTTGTACTGTTGAAATGGTTTCTACAGATGAGTTATACGAAGTGGCTGTGATCGATGAGATACAGATGATGGCGGATCCTAGTAGAGGTCACGCTTGGACAAAAGCTTTGCTTGGATTAAAAGCCGATGAGATTCATTTGTGTGGTGACCCGAGTGTTTTGGAGATTGTGCGTAAGATTTGTGCTGATACAGGAGACGAGTTAGTCGAAGAGCATTACGAGAGGTTCAAGCCGTTAGTTGTGGAGGCTAAGACCTTATTAGGAGACCTTAAAAACGTCAAGTCCGGTGATTGTGTTGTTGCCTTCTCTAGAAGAGAGATATTCGAAGTTAAAATGGCTATAGAGAAACATACAAACCATCGTTGCTGTGTTATCTACGGTGCATTGCCTCCTGAGACAAGGAGACAGCAAGCGAATCTGTTCAATGATCAAGAAAACGAGTATGATGTTTTGGTTGCTAGCGATGCTGTTGGGATGGGATTGAATCTGAACATAAGAAGGGTCGTGTTCTACAGTTTGAGCAAGTATAATGGCGATAAAGTTGTTCCTGTTCCAGCTTCACAAGTGAAACAGATCGCAGGGAGAGCTGGAAGGAGAGGAAGCCGATATCCAGATGGACTCACGACGACATTACACTTAGAAGATTTAACCTACCTAATCGAGTGTTTGCAGCAACCGTTTGATGAAGTGAAGAAAGTTGGTCTCTTCCCTTTCTTTGAACAGATTGAGCTCTTCGCTGCAAAAGTTCCCGATATGGCGTTTTCGAAGCTCTTGGAGCATTTTGGAAAACATTGCAGACTCGACGGTTCTTACTTCTTGTGTCGTCATGATCATGTGAAGAAAGTGGCAAACATGTTGGAGAAAGTTGAAGGGTTGTCTCTAGAAGACCGGTTTAACTTCTGTTTTGCTCCGGTTAATATCAGGAATCCGAAAGCAATGTACCATTTGTATCGGTTTGCTTCAACTTATAGCCAAGATATGCCGGTTAATGTCGCCATGGGAATGCCAAAGTCTTCTGCTAGGAACGATACCGAGCTTTTGGATTTGGAGAGTAGACACCAAGTTTTGTCTATGTATCTTTGGTTGTCTAATCAGTTTGAAGAGAAGAATTTTCCGTTTGTGGAGAAGGTTGAAGCAATGGCTACAAATATTGCAGAATTGTTAGGTGAATCATTGACTAAAGCTTCTTGGAAGATGGAGACAAAAGAAGAGATAATCAAGGGTCAAAAGAAGGAAGATAGAGGATATGAAAGACCATCTTCACTAATCAAGTTAGTTAATAAGTAAGGCATTTCAAGATTGTTGTGTGTTTGAGAACTTTATAATTTGTGGATTTTAATAAGTTAACTATATTTGTGTGTTGTTTTTTTATTTTCAGGAGGAAAGAAGAAAAATTTGGTGTGAAGGAGAATCCCAAGAAAGTAACTACATAGCCAACTTGCAGAAATTTGATCCCCAAACAAAATATTTTGCAGAGAAATGGTTAATTAGTTATTGTTAAGCAAAAAGTTTTCTGGATTTCTTCAATTTTGGTTAGATGATAGAGATTTTTCATTTGTGTCTTTAGTTTCTTCTTACTGGGAAAGTGACTATCAAAGACGTTTCAATCGGTGTTTGTTGTTGCTCATATGTAAATAGAGTGTAACAAATTAAGATTATATTAGATTTCATATTAACAAAAATTTATTATATATGCGTTAATTTTGCTTGTTATCGGCTGCCTTTTTGCTTTTTATTTCCTCCAATTTTGCTAATTGTTTTTTTTTTTTGCTTTTTGTTTAACAAACATGATTCTCCTTTTGTTAGGTCGTCTCAAATGCTTTCTTCTTATAAGATTATTATTTTCTTTCTTAACTTTATTTAAAATATTTTATAAAAATACTTATAGCAACAGCTGGTTTTCGCTAACTTTTTCACATCACTGTTTGTCAAATTTACAATATTGGTCGATATATAAACTATTTAATACTCGTCTTATTTTCAGAAATAAGCTATTTAAATTTACAATATTGGTCTGTATTTATGCTTTCTTCTTTCTCTCCAGACAAACTTTATTCGTGTAGTTTTCATGTTTATTCAGTTTTGGAAGATGATACAACATTAACTTTTTCAGATTATTTTTTAAAATTTACTGTGGCACAACATAATCTAGTAAGTTGATCTTATAATACTTTATGATGAATGCAACGAAATAAAATTAAGGCAATCCACTATCGTTAGCTATCTAATTTTTTTTTGGGGGACCAAATTAGCTATCTAAGTTAGATGTAGTATATAATTATATTAAGGCAAATGATTTCTATCATGCAATTAATTTTGACCCCACATAAATATGGAATATTCCTGTTCGCTTTTTCACATCTTTTTGTTGTTTCGATTTTGTAACTCATGTTCCTTTTATTGTGTTTAACGCCAATAGTAAACTATTTTAACTCAACCAAAAAAAATTGTAAACTATTTTGAAAAAAATATCTCATTTTTCATAAGTAAAGGTGAAGCATTAATTTTTGTTGTTGTTGCTAAACTCATATATCAATTTTTGCATTAAAATTTAAATTTTGGAAGGATACAATATCTAAACAACATAACAATGTAGTTTTCTTCTTACACAGCATAACGATAGTTATTAGTTATTATTAAAAACAGAATCCGGATCATTATTTTGTTGTTAGATAGAAGTAACTCTAAACATGTCCCACAAGTAATATTGTTGCAAAAAAGGGGTAATATTGTAGGCAAAAAATATCACTCCATTAAGTAGTTGTATATATTCAATTTTGTAACAGAACTAAAACAAACAAATTTGCGTATATTTGTTCATAGCAAAAAAAATATGAGAACTATATATAAGATTAAATATAATTCTAATTAAACTTTTGAACAATGACCGAGACTAGTAGATGTCGTTCATGAAGAGCTGCTCATATAATATAAGGGACTAGTGGTATTGAAGCATCTACTCCTATGCTTAATTTGCTCAAGCATGAACTCTATGCTTTTATAAAGCACGTCATGATAATATTTCCTTTTATATTTTAAACATGGAATTGACATCTGATCTTATTAACCGTTAAACAAAAACTCAAATATGAAAAAGAGTCTACACATACACGTGTATATGTTATACATATACCTGCATGTGTCTTGTGTGGCTGTTTGTATTTGGAATTTAGGGCTGTTCAAATCTATGTTTGGCTAATTGGCTTATATCGTCCGTAATGTAATCACGTATATAAGTAGTTCTTTTAAAGTTAGTCAACACTAATAGTAAAATATTTTGTAAAATACTCCATTTTCCATACGCAAAGGTAAAGCAATAAAATTATAATTTTGAAATAAAAACATATCCAAACTACGTAATAATCTAGTTTATTGGTTTCGTTACTTGTAACATCCATATCCCAGGTTTTTAAGAGGCGGAGAACCGGGAATGTTAGATCATCCATCGAACTGCGTCCGATAGAATGTCTGATTGATGAACACACAAATCGCCAGAAAAATACCCAGGTAATAATAAACAACATAGACTTATGCTGGTCTATAACCTATACCTGAAAAGATAGAAGAGAAGAGGAGGGGTGAGTAATGGGGATTACTCAGTAAGGATGAGCCTTAAGGAAGCCCACAATATCATCAAACTAGCATAAATTGGTTTTAAGAGATCCAATCCTAAAACAAGCCCACACAACACATATATATATATATATATTTACTTATATATAAACAGTTCATTCCTAGCAATCATTCACATAACATTCAAGAGTAACCCTACAAACAACTACACAAGCAGCCGGTCCCTGGTCATCACCAGTAACAGTAGGCTGCAACATGGGCCCCATGCCTCCCCGGAAAGGCAAACCAAAATAATCTCATCCAATGGCTGGCCTATTACCATACCCATTAGTCAGGTCTACTCTGCCAGCCACACAGACTGATCCACATCAATCACCAAGACAGGCTATGACACTAACGGTCACTTAGACGGCTATTCATAGCGGTCACCCAGAAAGCTGTACCCAGTGGTCCCTCGGACGGCTGTTATTAACCAGTGGATCGCCAATCCACTCCAGCGGTGGCCCTTGCCGTGCGTAGACGACAGCGCATGCCAACAAACAACACTGACTCCCACCTCCAGGAGCCAGGGGTCCTAACAAAGATCTACTATGCACAAATCATCCATTTCATACAACTATTCTTTTCTTAAAGGTCATTCCATTATTCAAATGCACTTTCGGTAATACCAAGTTATGACATAAGGAGCATTAATCAGGTTAATATCACACAATCAATATTTTAAAGTCCCAATAAGTTTAGATCCATATTCAGGTTAATTATCTCATTCCACCAGCAACCAGCAATCATCAACAAACAGGCAACATGAATCCAGGTCCTAAACAATTCTAACAATTCTAACAACCTAACAAGCAGATCTAAGCCTGATCTAAGAAAAGACCACTTAAAATTCAATCATGCATATGTAAGAGAGGATGAAGCCACAAAGTCCTCACCGATGCCTTTATAGAAGAAGATCTGCTTTATCCACTCCTTTGGACGGATCTGACATCCGACACGAGAATAACGATATCTTCTTATTCAGATCTCCGATCGGGGCGAATTTGGTCTCCGAAGAAAGATGACACTCTGGGCTTCAATTTGATATATTGTAGGTCTCGTGACTCTTCACGGATCACCGGGAAATCGTCATGGAAGGAGGCGGCGGCTAGGGTTTAAGAGGGAAGAAAGAGGAAGCAAAGCTGATGAAGGAGGAGAGAGCAGCGGCCAAGGGAGACAGAGAGAGAAAGAGAGCCACGGTGAGAGAGAGAGAAGGAGGATGGCGTGGCTGAGAGAAGGAGAGGAGAAGAGAGAATGTGGCTAAGATTTCCAAAAAGTGAGAATGAAAGATTAAGGAGGTATTTATAGATAGGGTTAATTTAGATGGGCTGGATTTAACGGGTTGGGCTTAACAGGCTTTAAAAAAAAGATCTAGAAAAAGGTTTATCAAAAGAATAATTAAAAAAAGAATGGTTAAAAAAAGAATGGTTTAACTTAACTTTAATCTAATTAAACCGGAATTAAGAACTGGTAACATCCGATATTTGGTTAACCAAGAGTCAGGATGTTATAATCTTCCCCCCTTAGACAGGATTTGTCCCCGAATCCTAAGAGAGAAGTTCCTGAAAGGAAATTCGAAGGCTAAAGACCAAGAGAAATAAAAGCACAAGGAAGAAGAGGAGCTTGGTCGCAGAAAGAGAAAGGAGTCAGGAATGAGATCAGAAAATGGAAGCAGGAAATGAAATGGAACCAGAAAAAAATTCAGGAGGACAATCAGAAATGCAATCAGAAGGGAAGGCAGAAAGGAAGTTAGAAGGAGACTAGGAATAGAACCTCAAGAATTACGGCTCCAGAAAAGATAAAGATTGAGAGGAAAATGACAAGAAGGAATCAGAAATGAAGCAGAAGGAAATTAGAAATGGAATTAGAAAGAAACGCAAAAATAAAATCAGAAGGACTCAGAAATGAAATCAGAAAAGATATTAGATGTGAACCATGGCACCAGAAAAGATAATGGCTAAAAAGGAAAAAACAAGAAAGGAACCATAGGACACATGGCGCCAAGAAGGATTTGAAGGCTAAGGGTTTAGAACGCAGAGTGATCAACAGAATCGTGAAGGAGGGAGAGTTTAAGGAATGATGCAATAAAAACATTTTGAGTAAAAACCAAAAACCATTTTATTAATGTGACAAGGAGGAGTATAACATTTTCTTTTTAAAAAGGAAAAATGAAAGAACACTAGCATGGAATCTAACTAGTTCATAAGAAACCTAAAAGCAATCAATAATCCAAACAAATAAAAATCAAGTTATACTCCTTTGAAAACCTTTTTTTTAAAATATAAAAAAGAACAATCAGAGGAAGGATCTTCTTCTGCTTCACTACCAGCAGAAATGACGACCAGCTCTTTGCTAAACTTCACTTAAGGAAGGGAGTGAACTTCTTGCGCGCAGGCTCTCGGGTCTTGAACAGAGGTCTAAGGAAAAAGGAAGGAAAGGCAGGAAAAAGAAAGCTATTGGTTGATATTGCTGGGCAGGATTCGATACACACTAAGGCCACTGTGAAATCCTCTGAATCCGGTTAAGAGTGTGAACTCCCAAAGGTATTCAAGCACATTCGTTCTCTTTGGATAACACAGCTAGGTTTCTCGTCATTCTGAGATCGAACTCGCCTGGCTTTTAACAGTCTGACAATTTCTATGGACTATTGCGACGCCTTCCTTTTAATACCTTAACTATGTAGACCAGGTCTGAACCTAATCATACATGTTGATGGCTGCTATAGAACCAAAGATTGCATAGTCAGGACTGGCATCGCATGGTGTGGTAGTTCCAGAACAACCACCCTGGTACAGTCTGAACCACACCAATAACCAATCTTTCCTAGAGGCAATTTGTTGCAACTCCAAAGGCAGACTTAACTACCACATGGTTAAAGACATAACCCTCTTCCATGCGGTTTCCCGCGTCCTGAACCTGGGCCCCTAACAACAAACAAGAAAGATGATAGAGGAAACTATAAGACTAGCGTCTATAAGTTGTTGGTTGTTCTATGTTTGAAAACATTTTAAAAAGATTTTTATAAAAGAAATGTTTTCGCAAACAATTTTTTCTTTGAAAACAAAAACAGGTGCGACCACTCTAGAACGGAGCTAAAGCGATCTAATCCTGGGCTCTGATACCACTTGTAACATCCCTATCGTGGGCTCCTGAGAGGCGGGGAACCGGGAATGTTAGATCGGCCATCGAACCGCGTCCGGTAGGATGTCTGATTGGTGAGCACACAGGTCACCAGAAAAACGCCCATGTAACAATCAACAACATAGACTTAGGCTGGTCTATAACCTATACCTGAAAAGACAGAAGGGAAGATGAGGGGTGAGTAATAGGGATTACTCAGTAAGGATGAGCCTTAAGGAGGCCCACAACATCATCAAACTAGCATAAATTGGTTTTAAGAGATCTAATCCTAAAACAAGCCCAAACAACATATATATATATATATATTTACTTATATATAAACAGTTCATTCCTAGAAATCATTCACACAACATTCAAGGGTAACCCTACAAGCAACTACATAAACAGTCGGTCCCTGGTCATCACCAGTAATAATAGGCTGCCACATGGGCCCCCATGCCTCCCCGGAAAGGCAAACCAGAATAATCCCATCCAATGGCTGGCCTATTACCATACCCATTAGTCAGATCTACTCTGCCAGTCACACAGACTGATCCACATCAATCACCAAGACAGGCTATGACACTAACAGTCACTCAGACGGCTGTTCATAGCGGTCACCCAGAAAACTGTACCCAGCGGTCCCTCGGACGGCTGTTATTAACCAGTGGATCGCCAATCCACTCCAGCGGTGGCCCTTGCCGTGCGTTCACGACAACCAGCAATCATCAACAAACAGGCAACATGGATCCAGGTCCTAAACAATTCTAACAAACCTAACAAGCAGATCTAAGCCTGATCTAAGAAAAGACCACTTAAAATTAATCATGCATATGTAAGAGAGGATGAAGCCACAAAGTCCTCACTGATGCCTTTATAGAAGAAGATCTGCTTTATCCACTCCTTTGGACAGATCTGACATCTGACACGAGAATACCGATATCTCCTTATTCAGATCTCCGATCGGGGCGAATTTGGTCTCCAAAGAAAGATGACACTCGGGGCTTCAATTTGATATATCGGAGGTCTCGTGACTCTTCACAGATCACCGGGAAATCGTCATGGAAGGAGGCGGCGGTGGCTAGGGTTTAAGAGGGAAGAAAGAGGAAGCAAAGCTGATGAAAGAGGAGAGAGAGAGAAAGAGAGCCACGGTGAGTGAAAGAGAGCCACAGTGAGAGAGAGAGAAGGAGGATGGCATGGCTGAGAGCAGGAGAGGAGAAGAGAAAATGTGGCTAGGGTTTCCAAAAAGGGAAAATGAAAGATTAAGGAGATATTTATAGTTAGGGTTAATTTAGATGGGCTGGATTTAATAGGTTAGGTTTAACGGGCTTTTAAAAAAAAAATTAAGAAAAAGTTTATCAAAAGAATAATTAAGAAAAGAATGATTTAATCTAATTAAACCAGAATTAAGAACTGGTAACATCCGATATTTGATTAATCAAAAGTCGGGATATTATATTAGTTAGATAACATCACCTTTTTAATTAAACTGTAAACAAAATAAATTTCAAGTATTTTTTTTGGCAACTCCAAATAATATTATTTCAATATTTTTTTTGGAATTCCCAAAACAGAAACCTGCGAACTAAAACTCCATAATTAGTGTGTATTCGTTAGTGGACAACTTCGTAAAATCGTAAAAGTATTTATGCTTTATTTTCTCTCTATGAAATGTTTATGTACCTAATCTTGACACTTGGTATGATTACTTACATAATTGACTCTAATGTTTATTCCTTTCTGGATTGGAACACCCTACAATATTTAGTTTTTTTAGATTGTTTATCAAAGTTTTCATGTGGCAACATCTAGTACGGAGAACTTGTAATGACTTATATGATGAATATGAATGCTAATATATCAAGACTTCCATGAATTTTTTTATAAAGCAATCCAGTAATATCCACTACCGTTAGCAATCTATCTTAGTATACAAAGTCAGGTAAATGATTTATAACTAATCAATAAATTTCGATCCCAATAAATAAAATAGGAAATTCCTTCTTATTTGCCTTTTCTTATAGTTTTAAAATTAATAACCAATATGTGGTAGTGGGTTGGTTCCTGTGGAAGATTACTGTTCAGGTCAGAGATCGAATATCTCTGGATGCAAAATTATCACAATATTAACTTTTAGTTATCCAACCATGTGAGCTGCTACTGCTACTGAACTTACATGAAAAGGATACTAAGTCTAAGAAAATTAGTCTAAATCTGAAGGGTCTGGAATTTAACTCCAACTAAAAAAAAAAAAATTAATTCCAATTTTCATACTGTAAAGGTAAACAATAATCATATATATGATTTTAGGTAAACTCTCTCCATCATGCTGCCACATCAGCATCTGAATGGAGAACGTCTGTCTTTTCAACTAATTAATAAATCATAAATTTTAAAAACTAATTAATACCACTACTTCTAACTTAACTATTCTATTTAATGTTTATTTCATATATATTTATGTTCATAACTATTAAGTTACATTAATATTAAGGCTTTTCACATTCCTTACAAAAATAAATAAATAATATTTATAATTTTTTACATTTCTAACTTTTTGGTATTCGTCTAAAACTTTTTAATATTTTTTTATACTAATTTGATACTTTTCTTTCGGCTTATCCTCATCATAAACACTTTTTTCGAGCTTGTTGTATGAAAAAATGTAAAGATGTAGTGTTATCTTCATTCAAATATTTGGTGGTTCTTATGGGTCAAATATGATATTATTATAGCTGCATTTTATTGTGAAACATAAAGTATGAGGTGGATTTTGCAGAATCAAGGAAATTGTACATGTCATAAATTTGAGAACATTAAAAATTGGAGGTAATTATATGTTTTCAAGCAATTCAACCAAAAAAATCTGACTTTTATCTACGTCTTTTTTACTTATAACATGTTTATGATTTCTAGAATAATAAAATAATTTTTCTAATTACCATATTTCCAATCTTTAAAAAAAATTATTTGTTTTACAAAGAATTTATTTTTAAAAAACCTAATACTAAACAATCAAACAAATTTCATATTCTTATAATTTACTATATATATATATATATATCAACACAAACATATTTTTAAAAATATTACATGAAACATAACCCGCGCGTATGCACGGATACAAGTCTAGTACTATTTAAACTACTTGTATCCTTTCTCTTTTCGTATAAACGCTAGTAATAATTTTTATAAGACAAACCAAAACTATTTTCTAATGGGCCAACCCAAACTTGTTAAAGCCCAAACAAGAGTGACTCATCAAGCCCTAAAGCCGAGCTAGGTTTCACATAGTTGTGGTATAAAAAGCTCCTTCTTCGTCTTCGCGATCGAAACACACTCGTCTTTTGTTTGTGCAGCAGCCATGGTGCAAGTCAGATTCTACCGCAACTGTGAGCTCTCTTCTCTCCATCTTATGTTGTAAAATTCGATCGAATTTTCCTTTTGATTTGATTTTTCAAAAATAATTTTTCTCCCTTGGCTGAATTTAGATTCATAGGCTCTGTTGTTCGTTTAGTTTCTCTACACCATTCAAAATTTCACTTTTCTCTCAGTGTCGAGTCAATTTTCGTATATAATCGCATTTGCTGAAAAAGATGATTGATATATCGATGCATGCCAAGTAAGATTAGGGTTTTTCTATGTATCTGTTTTTGATCCGTTTTGATAAATAGCGTTTTCTTGGTACTCTGTTTTGTGATCTGTTTCTCTTTATTTTCATGTGATGGCTCTCAAAGATTTGATTTTTCTAATGGTGGATTTGATTTTAAGATGGGAAAACATTCAAGAAGCCACGTCGTCCTTACGAGAAGGAGCGTCTCGATGCTGAGCTAAAGCTCGTTGGAGAATACGGTCTCCGTTGTAAGAGAGAGCTGTGGAGGGTTCAATACGCGCTTAGCCGTATCCGTAACGCCGCGAGAGATCTTCTCACCCTCGACGAGAAGAACCCTCGTCGTATCTTTGAAGGTGAAGCTCTTCTCAGGAGGATGAACCGTTCTGGGCTTCTTGATGAGAGCCAGAACAAGCTCGATTACGTTCTTGCTTTGACTGTTGAGAATTTCCTTGAACGTCGTCTCCAAACCATTGTCTTCAAGTCCGGTATGGCCAAGTCCATTCACCATGCTCGTGTCCTTATCCGACAAAGGCACATTAGGTAATCAAAATTTCATTTTACATCCGAAAGTTTGTGACTTTGAAATTTTCGTAATCTTGGGAACAAACGTTCAATTATGTAGATGCTTATCAATTTTGTCCTGCTTGACTTGTTATAGAATCCTGGTTTGATCCTTCAAATTTGTCATAGTTCACTCATGCTCTCTCTAAATGAACTCAATTGTATAAAGGCTTAACGGTTTTTTCTTGCCAGAATTGTGTAGAGGCTTATCGGTTTTGTCTTTCTTGACTTGGGTATAATCTTTGATTGTTGTTGTTCACAGCTCTAAATGAACTTGATTGTGTTAAAATGTAGTGGTAGTGTTACAAAAACTGATTGCTGACTCAATTGTTTCCGATTTGTTCTAGGGTTGGGAGGCAGCTGGTGAACATTCCATCTTTCATGGTGAAAGTAGACTCACAGAAACACATTGACTTTTCTCTAACCAGTCCATTTGGTGGTGGTCGACCCGGAAGAGTGAAGAGAAGGAACGAGAGAGCTGGAGCCAAGAAGGCTAGCGGCGGTGGTGATGGAGATGAGGATGATGAAGAGTGAAAGTACCTAAACCCTACCCTTTATTAGATAAATCACTACCTAAAACCTACCAAGATGGTATTAAGTTATTTAATAATCTATTGCTCTTGTCACTTTCTTTTTTGAGATGTTTGGTTTATGAAGTTATCTTTAACTAGTAGAAGAAGTGAAGTGTGCTGGTATTTTGGTGATGGATTTAGTTTTTATGTTATTGTGTTTTTGCAATAATGCTTTTTTATAGTGGACCGTTCTGTTCTTGTTTCTGATCTTGTTTCTTACAAGATAGTAGTGAATGTTTAGTCCGGTGATGCTGCATACGAGCTTAAAGCTTTTCTTCCAGTTACCTGCATTTTCACTGCTAATACACACTAGTCGAATAGAAAACGTTTAGAAAAAGAAAAAAAGCATACAAATACAATACTCGAATACAACAATAATCTAAGAACAGTGTCATGAATTTGTCTAGCCTATGACTTTTGAAATGAAATGCAAACAAACATTTTGTGCGGTTCTAGAACCTCAAGTCATGTAGCTCTTGAAATTTTAAGCTTTCGTCAAGAGCGAAAATATATAATGTTGTTTACAAATCGGAAACTTATGTTTTTATTTGGTATTTGCTCGGAGTTCTTATGTGGTTGGTTCAGATTTACTAATCGTTTTGGACTTTGGTGGCAAATAGACTTGTCGTATTTTGATTTCTTTGAAACTTTCTTGCAAAACCATGTTTTCACAAAATTCTAGGATTTAACAAGAATTTAAAGGCTTAAACTATATATTTTTTTTTTAATAGAAAAGAGCAAGACATGTGAAACACATGTGAAACAGAGATAGAAGGACCCTTAAGCATCTGATGCCGAGAATTAGGAGAATGCTGAATCGAAGGAGAGCTATGGCTGGAAGTATCTGAACCAGTTGTAGAGGAAGGAGTCTGCGGAGGCCTGCGGGCCTGGGATCAGGCGCCTATGGTCAGCTCGATTAAGACTCGCCAACTTAGCTCGAAGAATCAAATAGATTTCCTTGATTAACACCTGAACCGGTTTGGAAGCAGCCAAGTGAAGCCGAACATTCCTCTCTTTCCATAAAGAGTAAACCACCGATTGAATAACCAGATTTGCAATGACCTTGAGCTTCTTTGGAGATAACGGGGACATAATCCAAGCCAGACAAGCATCAAAAGATAAAGGGGGCTGAGTGCCCGAATAAGAGAAAATGGAAGACAAAAGCTCAGCGGAATACGAACAAGAGAAGAAAAGATGATATCTACTTTCGGTGCAGGTTCCACAAAGCAGGCATTCAGCTGGAACATTTAACCCCCAACTGCGAAGTCTGTCTCTCGAAGGCATTCTATTCCTGGTCGCCACCCAGAAAATGAAAGCATGTTTAGGAATCCTCACCTTTGGCCAAACCGCTTTGTGCCATGGAACAGGAGGAGGAGAAGGGTGTAACCGATCCCAAGTCTTCGAGGTAGAGAAAAGACCCGGAGGAGATCCCGGAGAGTTCCTCCAAAGAAAAATATCTGACTCAGAGGAAAAAGTCGAAGGATCGGATGTCTTCTCTGAGAAACATTCCAAGAACCATTCGAACAGGCACCAGCAACGGTCGAGGAAGAAGGAATACCAGTGATTCTTGGTCCATTTGTCCCCGTTAGGTCGATAAGGGGTCCTAAATCAGTCCAATCGTCGTGCCAAAAGGAAGCAGAAGTTCCAGAGTTCACCTGGCAATATAAAAAGGGTCTAGCAAGGACGCGGAGCTTCATAAGACGCTTCCATATCCAACTTCCCAAAAGATGAAAATCCGCAGACCAAAAAAGCCTTCCTCTGATAACCATATGATTAATCCAAGCTACCCAAAGCGAGCCATTACCAGCGAAGAGGAGCCAGATTAGCTTAAGTCCGAATACTTGATTTAAGTCATGCAGCCTTTTAAGCCCTAATCCGCCAGCCTCTTTTGGTGTACAAACCGAATCCCAAGCCACCTTAGCACCCTTTGCAGAATTTGGAGCACCACTCCAAAGAAAGGCGTTACAAATCTGTTCAAGCGTAGCTAAACAACTTGCTGGAAGGGGAAAGACTGAACTCCAGAAGTTGATAATGCTGTACAACACCGATTGGATAAGCTGTAGATGGCCCGCGAAATTCAAATGTCTAACTGTCCAGGAAGAAATGCGAGCCTTCACCTTATCCACCAGAGGTTGAAAATCTTGGGCTCTCAATTTATGGGGCATCAAAGGCATACCTAAATAACGCACCAGAAGAGATCCTTGCTGCAAGCCAAATCTACCAACCATTTCACGAACCAACGGAAGGTTATTCCCATCAAGGAAAAGGCAGGACTTGCGCAGACTGAGAGCAAGACCAGAAAATCGCAGGAACGAGTTCAGAACAGTAAGAATACCGCTGATAGAGGAAGCAGATCCATCAAAGAAGATAAGAACATCATCCGCAAAGCTCAAATGGGTAATTAGGGGCTGATTGCAAGAAAGGTGCGGAATAAACACACAGTCATGAACAGCCTTGTCGAGAAGCTTAGACAAAATGTCCATAGCTAGGACGAAGAGCGAGGACAAAACCAGATCACCCTGCCGAAGCCCTTTCTTCCCTGAAAAAAATCCGACAAGCTCACCATTCACAGCCACGGAGTAATAAGGAGACGTGATGCAAGCTTTAATCCAACCAATAAAAACCTTAGGAAGACCAAGAGCACCCAGAATGTTCAGAACGAAAGACCAACTGACATTGTCGTACGCCTTAGTGATGTCAATTTGAAGGCAACCTCTATTAGTAAAACCCGGCTTATTGAAATCACTGACTAACTCCCCCGCCAACAAGACATTCTCACATAATACATGTTTAAACTATGGGTTTAAACTATGGGTTTGACATAATACATGTTTTCTGGCCTTATAAGAGTACATGCCATAATAAGTGTAATGAATTCTTTAGGGAAACATATAACACAGGTTACAGAGATAGGTGATGTGATTGATTTTCTGAAAACAGTGCAAAGCATCATTGTATAATTATGAGAGCAATCCGGTTTAAAAGGGGACCATTTGATATGTAGTATATTGGTCTAACTGGTCCTGGACCATAATGTGTTACGTCCTTCTTATGATGCAAAGTTGATACCTCAACTCAGGGCCGGCCCAAAGTGATTTGACGCCTAAAGCGTCGGGTAAAAATGATGCCCTTAATCGAATTTTTTTTTTTTGTGGCATATTATCTAATAATCCAAAACACACCAAAAAGTTTTTGAAACAAGAGGATAAAAAACTTTTTTTTGCTTAAAATAGATTTTCTCTGCAATTTTTTAAGCTTAAGATCAATTTTTTAAGTCCAGATTATTTTTTTAAGCTTAAGATCAATTTTTTTTAAGCTTAGAATCGATTTTTTGAAGCCCAAAATCAATTTTTATAAGCCAGAATCGATTTTTTTATAAAATATTTGATAGGGATAATGTAGGCAATTTTTCTTTCCCATTTTTTGGTCTTGGTCGATGTGGGATAAAATATTTACACACTTATAAAAAAAAATTTTTGGGCTTTTTTTGCTGCCCCAAAAATTAGAGTCTTATGGGCTGCACTGAAGCCATTGCTTCATGGGCTTAGCTGTGGGCCGGCCCTGCCTCAACTAGACAAGAATCCTACAATGGAGAAACATTTATCTATTCTTGGAGTAATTCTTATTAATTTTTTATTACTTTTTTTCTCTAAAATTAGAAGCAGGCAAAATGGTGATGAATTGCGATTGTTTCAAAATCATCATAAAGAATCCAGAAATTGAAATAGAAAAGAGAAAGGGATAAATTTGTTTTTTTATGAGTTTACAATCTAAACAAACATTTTTCAATACAAACATTAAAGCAAATAAAAAGTTGAAACAATTTTGATGAAAGAGTGAACCAAACTACCATTTTTAAAATATTATAGACTAACAGATAAGTTTAGTTATTTTTGTCTTACAATCTTGTTGTTATTTGTCCTTTTTTAACTCAAAATGTGTGCTTTTTAAAAGAGAAATAAAATACTCCCTCTGTTTCATTATTGTTGATTTTCTATGTTTTTTTCTTGTTTCATAATATTTGATTTTATCTCTAATTAATGCATGTTTTTTCTTTAAATTGAATGAATAATATTAATACATATTGCTTTACTCCATTAACACACAATTAAAAAAAAAGTAATAATAAAAATAATGAAATTAGTTGTAAAAGTAACTTAATTAATAAAAATAAATAGTAAATAATTGAGCATTTATAGTTTTCTTAATCTATGTGTAAATATTCATAAAATCAATTATAACGAAACAGAAGGAGTACATTTTTTTAAATGTAAGAAATCAGTTAACCAAACATGAACAAAAAAGTTTCAATTTGTGTTATTAATAATGATTTTTTTAATTATTCTTTAAATCTTAAATTTAGTATTATCCAATATTTGATTTCTTATTGGTTTAAACAAAAAATTGATTTCACATTGGATTTACAATTAACCACACATTAAATTAAAAGGTTACTCCATGATTGATTGTCCAATCCGATGAGGAATAAAAAAAAGTGATCTAGATGTAAAAAAATTTATAAGTTTTTTTTTTCATGTTAAAATTACTTGTTACTTTAAGAGGATTTTTAAATACTTGATAATATACACGTGTTTTTCTTTAATTTTAAAAGCAGATGATTTTACAAAAAAAAAAAAAAAAAACTCTTTATGGCTTTACAAATCAACCAACGATTTGAACAGCCATAATATACAAAACCAGCAAAGATATAAGCTTGGTCTCACTTTCCTTAAAAAATGTCATTTCAAATGTAATGTAACATTTTTTTTTGGTAAAAAATGTAATGTAACATTCTAAAAGTAACTAGGAATTAACCTGCAATTTGTGCGAGTAATGTTTTTAAAATTATCTTTAAATTTAATTTTAATTTTTTGGTTAAATTAAAATTTGTAGTAAAAATCTTTTAACAACATATAAATAAATAAAATTGGTACCAATTAGATAACAAAACATTTATAAATATCACACAACCGATATCTATTTTGAACTAATTTTGTTATGCAATTTATTTAGTAGTATTTTTTAAATATGAAAGTGATATGGTGTTAATATATATATATATATATATATTCATATACATAGCATATAGATTAGAATATATATATATATATATATATATCTATAAAATAAAATTTTAATTGTGAATATTTTATTAAAGATCAAATTAAACTATTATTTTTAGTTATTGAATTCTATAACATA